CCAGGTCACTAGCTTTGGTCCCTTGGCAAGGGATAAAGGAGGGCAAAGTGCCTGGACTGCATAGCAGGCCAGTGGGCGACTGCTGTCTGCTGATCTGTGACCGGGAGACAGGGCCCCTGGTCAGCCAGATCCTCCTGTGTAGCTTGGGGCTGCCTTGAGAGCTGCTGTGTGGTTCTGCGAGTTTAATCAATCTCTCTGGGCCTCAGTTTCCTTATCTGCAGATCAGGGAGGGGCAGAAAGGAGCTCCCTCCCCTTGTGGACACAGCTGGGATGCCTTCATACAAGAGCCCTCACTCCACCAGCAATCTGAGTCTCTGCCCAGAGCTTGGGAGACAAGGGGAGACCCTGCAGATGTAGGCATCCCTGAGTGAGAGTCTGCTGGGCAGTAGGAGAGCCCCTTAAGGGCCCTGTGAGTGGAGAGGGGGTGGAGCCCCCAATTGCTTCCGCCAGAAGCTTGTGTTTGAAGAAGCAGTTCTGGGTTAACCAGAGTTGGAAAACTGCCAGACTCCAGACTCTCTAATCCAGAGTCCGAGGTCCTGACCTGCCAAGGCTCACACATGCTGGTCACCAGCTGATGCCCCCCACCTCTTGTGTGCAGCCCTACCCTTACACCTGCTCCCTCACAGCATCTCTCATTTTACCAGACGCCCCCTCTGGTTCTCTCCTAAAACCTGCTTTTCCCCACGTCATCCCTCTCTCAACAAATCCCCCCTCCCTTGCCCTACACAGTTGCTTTAGGCCAGGACTGTCTGCCAGCCTTCCTGCCATCCCTGCCCCCATCAGCAAGTGCAATCAACACCAAAACATATCCTGGACCAAATGACTTCGCATCCTCTCCCCGCAGCACCTCGTTGGGGTGACGGTACCAGCCTCGTCACTGGGCTCCTGTTCCCACCCTCGCTTCCCTCCCAGTAGCAGGGCAGTCCTTTCTAATTCCTAACTTTACACTGAAGTGTAAGACACATACAGAAAGCAATATGCATGCAGCATCAGTGCAGACACATCTGCACACACCCAACACACACGCGTGACAGACGGAGACAGAACCAGGACAATCTGTCAAAAATTCCGTTTGAGGCCATCCTGCAGCCCGCCTCCCACTGAGCTCAAGTCCAGGTGCCTCCTCCTAGGGCCCCCGCCCTACCCTTGCATTCCACCCTAGCCTCTGTCCCCGAACTCACCAGCTGCTGCCTCCTTTGCCCGTGCTGTTTCCTCTGTCTCAGACCTGACACACTCCCTGCCCCTTCAGAATGAAGATGTTGCCCTTCTCTACCCTCACCCTCTCATCGTGCTTTTTATTTCTATAGAATTCCATTCCCTGATATGACCTCTCACGTGTGTCCTTTTTCCGCCCTACCTGAATGTCAGTGACAAGACACCGCTGACAGTGTCCTTTCTCACCCAGTCCCCTGCCTGGTGCCAGGCACAGAGTAGGTGGTCAAGAAACTCTGTGGTACAAACAGATGCACCAGAGCAGCCTGAGTTGGAAAGTTTTGAGTGTGTAGCCAGCAACAGGCCATGGGAGGGATGTTCACAACCACCCAGGGCCTCTGGGGAGGTCCCTGTTCCCCCCATCCTCCATGCAAGCCAAGGGGACTGCTGTGCCCCCTGCCTTCTTACTCACCCAGTTCTCCGTCTTCCTGGCCCTGCGCTCCAGCCCCTTCTGCAGGCGCTCCCCTACGCCCCCCGGGGTCTGAAACTCTTCCACCAGCTCCTTGGTTTGGGCCCACTCCTCATCGCTCACGATGGGCTGCAGTGCCTTGAGATAATGGTCCAGGGTCTGCTGGAGCGGGGGCACGGGCAGTCGGGGCAGTGAGTCCTGGTGTGTCTTGAAGCGACTGGAAACCTTCACCAAGGAGGAGGGCTTAAGGAAGCCCAGGGGCTTCACCTGCAGGCAGCACAACACCCTGCTCATTCTCTCAGCGGCTCTGGGAGGCCCTGGCACTCCCAAAGCTAGTCCTGGGTACTTATGTGCCCAATTCCTTGGGGCAGAGACGCCTCTTGGGTGGTGCCTGCTATGCCTTCCCAGCCCTGGAGATGTAGATGTCTCCACCTCTTAGGGGCCTGGAGATGCAGGTAGGGATGGGGGAGGGTGGGGTGTGGCCATTGATCTTGGCAGGACTCAGAGAAGCCCTTGGCAATGGCACTTGCTGGGGGTGGCAGAGGTCAGAGGGACCTCTCACCTGCTGGGTGCACAGGGCTCTGCCTTTCTCGTCCTGGGACGACGTGTGAGGTAACCACTCCCTCCCGGAAGTCCCCACCTCCTTTTCTCCCACCCTTGCCAGGATGGGAAACAGGGCAAGAAGAGAAAATCACAGAGAGCCAGATGATGACAGTACCTTTGGCTGAGGGCAAGGCCTCGGGCTTTCTCCTGTCTGTGGGGTGGGGCTGGGGTGGCATGGGGGCAGCGCTGTGGCAAGAGAGAGCTGAGTGGACTCGCAAGGAGGGTGAAAGTTGGCAGAGAGAGAGTCTGGAGACTTGGAGGTGGGCAGAAAGAGACAGGAGGGCCAGAGGCTGCTGGCAGCAATGGGCAGGCAAGCGGCAGAGGTTCCATTTCATACCTTCTCCTTCTGCTGCCTGTCCTCCATGGCAGGACTGAGGTTCTGAGCCCTGTCTGTCTGCCCTGGGCTGGATCTCTAAGCCTAACTGTGCTACCAAGTGGGTGAGCAGAACCTAGCAAGAGGCAGCCACTTGCCTGGGCTGGAAAGAGAAGACAAGAGCCGAGATTCAGGGGGAGGCAGAGGTGGCAATGACGATGGCTATGGTGGCTGTGGGGGCATCTGGGGTTGTGGCTGTCGCAGGAGCAGCTCCTCCACCCTCCTTAGTTTCCAGAAATGGAGAAAAGGGGAGCTGGTGAGACGGTGCACGTGGGGTGTACACCAGAATAGGAGGACACCTGGAAAACTTTTTCTTTCCTTCCCTAGATGGGCCCAGTGCCAGGGAGGCAGGCCAAGAGGTGTTAAAAAAATCCACCTGCTGGAATCTGCATAGGTCTCTTTGATCAGGGAAAACTTGGCTGGAGGGCAGAAACTTCTTGGCTGCCGAGGTTAAACCACAACCATGAATATAGTCCTGAAAATTGGGGTTGGTGCAAAGGAGCAAACACTGGGAAAGGGCTGTAAGTGGGTATTTCCCTCTGGGACTCATGAGGCCCTTCTGGGCCACTCTTCCACCAAAGCCTGGTTCTCTTGAGCTGTGGCTCATTCAGTGGGGGATGGGGTGTTAAGAGTAGACAACTTTGAGCCTTAACAGTAAGCCAAAGGATGCTGACTTTGGATTGAGCTAGAGTTGAGCCACCAGACTCAGGGGATTCTAGTCAAGTTTTTCTCTCTCCTTGCCTCAGTTTTCCTGGCAGTAAAGTAACCAGGCCACTTAGCAGGTCCTGGAGGATGATCCAGAGGTGACACAGTTCAGGTGGCAGTGGCAAGGGTGAGGAGGAGCTCTAGTATCCCGGAAGATCTGGAAAAACCTCTGGGCCTGTGGATGGGTACTCTTAGCCGTCTGGGCCCAGCAGTACCTGAACACCCTTCTTGGCACAGACAGAGGGAGATACGCTTGGAGTAGAGAGGGAAGGAATCCAAATCAGGATAGCAGCACCACTTGCTCCAAGCTGCTCTCTGGGGAGATTGAGGGTGTGGGTGTGTAGATTTCAGTCACATCCCAGGAGGGACCGGTGGAAAGGGAGAGCACGGGGCTGCCATTTGCTTCCTTCTGCTAGTTCTGAGGACTTTCTGAGCAGCTCAGCTTGATACCTTCACTTGAGTTTCTCTGTCCACACACCATTCCCCAGGAGCCATTTGATAAGTCAGGAAAAGCTGACAAACTGGATGGGGTTGGAGAAGTGGCTCCAGCTGAGCATGGGACAGATGTGTGAATCGGAGAATAACTGTTGGGAGACATCCCTGGTCTCTCTGCTCCTTGGCTCTGGGTCTAAGGGTGGATGGAGGTGCTGCCTGAAGCCAGGATCCTCACTGTCTTTTCCAAGTCGTTGGAATTTAGCGCCACAGCATGGGGGTTCGACCCAGCCTCTCACCTTGAACCTGTCTCCTCTGCCAAACAGGATTAGCCCACCTGCCGACCCCATCCCAGTAGCTGCTGGCCACGCCGGACGGCGGCCGCCCAGCTGTATCGCCTCGACGGCCTGTTTCCCCATGCGGGTGCAGCTCTGCGGCTGGCCCGGCCCGCGGCCCGCGCGGCCCACCGCCCGCCCGCCCTCCCCGTCCAGGGCCCGCCAGCCCGGGTTTCCTGCCGCACTCACCAAGGTCCTGGCAGCAAAGGCCAACATCTCTGTGGCCTGCCCAGAAACACACAATCCGCTCCGTCCCTTGCGCTGGGCAAAGTCCGAGCCGCCACCGTAGGCGGGTCCTAGCTAGAGCCTCCGGGGCAAGGACGCCGAGTCACGGCCGCCAGCGGGTAGAAGCGGCCCGGCGCCCACCCACCGGGCCGGGCGGGCGGCGGGTGGCGGGTGGGCGGCCGGGGGTGGGGTGGGGGGAGGGGAGGGGACTTTCGCCGAGCGGGGCCTCGGGCCGGTTGCGGACCGCGGCGGCTAACCACGAGGCGCGGGGCGGGGCCGGGGGCGGGACCGGGGCGCAGTTAGCGGTTGGGGACCCCGCGAGGAGGTGGAACGCCGAAAGAGGAGCAAGGTGGGGTTCGCCGTCCAGCTCGCTCTCTCCCACCTCCATTAGCCGTCCAAACTGTTGGAGGCAGTGGTGTGCACCCCTCTCAGTCCTTTTGGTGTCCTTGAGCGCTGCTCCCGGAGTGGTAGGAAAAAACAACCATGTTGACAGGGGAGTGTCTTCTAATATTCTTCGGGATAGGGTCAGAGCCACGCACGAAGATGACAGGTGGGGGCCGCCCCGCAAAAGCATGGCTGCCGCGCTCCCAGTGCCCTCCCGGTCCGCGGCTGGCCCGTCGGGTGGGGAGCCGGCCGTTGGCGCGCATGCTCCCGGGTGCCCCGCACCAACATGGCCGCCGCCTCGGGGTGAGCGCGGCCGCCGCCAGCCGGCCGTTGCTGGGCATGCTCTCTGAGTGCCCCGCACCAACATGGCGGTCGGCTTCGCTGGGGTGACTTTAATTCTCGGTTTTCGGTTATAGCCGGCCGCTGCTTATTTGTCTCCGGGAAGCCCTGAGCGCGTGGTGCAGCCGGAGAAAGGCTGGGTGCGTGCGAGGGTGAAAGGTGAGAGGGGACTGCAGGCATCTGGGCCGACTTCTGGCGGGAGGAAGATGGCTGAAGGCGAGCGGCACTCGCCGCCAGGTAAGGCGGGCCGCCGGGGCTGGAGTGGAGTGGGGGCGCGGGGGCGGTGCCAGGCGTGGGGGCGGAGAAGGGGTGTGGTGTGTGGGGGGGTCTCAGTAAAGGGAGGGTCGGGAGATGGAGGAACTCGAGGGGTAAACGCTCCTCGTGGGCCCCGAGGAGGAGCAAGAGTTGAGGGGCCCTGAGGGAAAAGTGCTGCGGCATCTGGAAGGAGGACAGGAACGCGGGGCTGCAAAGAGGTCATGGGTGGGGCGCAACACGAGGACTTGGGGAGCCTGAGCTGCCCGAGGGTCGTGTGGGCAGCACTGTGGCCAGAAGGGAGGCCTTTTTCACATCATCAGCGCTTGACCTGGTGGGGATCAAGCCAGTCAGGGATGAGGGCTGCCTTCTTTATTAGACCCTGCTCAGGCGGGGGGCGGGGGTGGTGCTCCTTGGGCCTGGGCCTGCCTCGATCCCATTTCCAGCCTCCCCCACTTCATGACCACCCCTCATCCACCTACCCTCTCTCCACCTTCGGAGGCCGGGCTCTGGAGTTTCAGTGGCTAAGAAGTTATTGAGAGAAACTGCCCTTGGTCGTCTAAACCACTAATTTAAAAAGGCTGGTTGTGCAGGGAGATGAGTCTCTTTCCGGCCTCACCATCTGTAACTTTTATTTACACTGTGGTTTCCTTTAGTTCATCTCAAATAACTGGGCTGGAGGTGGTAGGCAAAGGATCCTCTTAGACCCATAACCTGGGGAAATGGAAAGGTGTTTGCTGACCAACCCCCTCACCTCTTGAGCTAAGAAGGAGTGATGATAGATAGCTTTTAAAATTCTGGCAGAGGTGTAAATAGGTTGGCTAAACAGCTGTTTCAAAACAGGTAGTTTTGAAACCATTCGGTATTACTTCTTCCCTGTTTTGTCATTTGTGATCTCTGGGAACGTCTCAGGAGGGAGAAATTTTGAAGAACAAAAGAGGCACCCCCCCCCCCGCATGAACAAAGAGTTGAGTATGGTCTCTTAGGGCATTTATTTGATACAAAACTTGTGTACATGTGCTCTTAGGAGTTCTGGTAATGACATCAGGATATAGGCAAACAAAATTATCAGTGACATGAATGTGTCTCTGAAGATGGGTCATGGGGGATTTGGAGGGTAGGACCTGTGCCCTGAGAGAGGGGAAGGCTCAGGGAGGTTATCTGTGGCTGGGAAGATTCCGGTTCCCAGGAGGTGGTCCTTCTTTGAAGTTTAAAATAAGACGTTTAGGAACAAGTGGAAAGAACTGCTTAATTCAGACTGTGTAGTAGTGAAAACCTTGGATTTTGGAATTACATGGACCTGGCTCTGCCTGGCAAGTCACAGCCTCTGAGAGCCTGTTTTCTTATCTCTTAAAAGGGAGCTACTATACCTCCTTCACAGAATTGTAGTGTTTGTGTCGTAGATGATGTGGGCAAATCATGGGACGTGGTAGGTAGTCAGTAAACGTAGGTTACTGTTATCCTTCTCAGAGGTGGTACAGGTTGAACATGTAGACAGGGTACCAAATGGTAGATGATAATATACTCTCTGGGTTTTTTTTTTCAGAAATATCTCTAAAACTCTGGATGTTTTCATCCAGTTGTAGGGGATCCCACTGTCCTGTGGCACTTTTGTCAGAGATGGACTCAGGCTGGAGGGGCTGTGGGTCTGACCTCATTTATCACAGTCCCAAGTTTGAAGGCTGGTTTTTTTGATTTGGGATTGCGTGGTCTGGCGAATTGTGTGTTTCGTCAGTGATTTGTTGCAAACTTCCACCAAGTAGCCTTTCCTCTGAAAACAGGGCCTGGCCTGGAGATTTTCCTCCCTTTGAAATAATGTTAGGAGGGCTATCCCCTTGTGGGAACAGTTCTCTCAAACTTAGAAAAGCGTCTGTTCCCAGAGATCATTTGCAAATTGATAATTTGGAATGTAGAGCTTGTTTTCCTATAAAAACAATGTGGTTAGGTCACCTGACCTACACAGCTTTTAATTTAGCATCTTACTTAAAGTAGCAATTTACTAATAGTAGGGTCATCAATTTGAGGTTCTGGGAACAGGACTTGCAGAAGGTGGGAGGAGGAAGAGAGTTTCTGGTCTCTTTCGGGGGGCCCTCATTTGAATTTTGAATTAGGCAGAGTTTGCCTTGCTCTTGTCCCAGGTTCTCTGTCTCCTTAGATCTCCAGGTCTCCTGGCACTTTTCCTTTCCTCAGGGCCTCTCCATGCAGGCTCTATTCCCCCAATTGTCACGTGTCCTAGAACCTACTTAGGTCCTTGGCCCCTTTTCTCCAGGCAGCTGATGTGAGTTAGGTTTTAGGAGGACAGCAATGAGACAAGTTAATACTAAACTGTGAGTGACTGATAGTCCTTTTACTCTTCTTGGAGAGTTTTCATTTTTAAAGGAAGGGCTTACTAATCTGACAACTATCCAATAGTAGATTCAGGCCCACAATTCCCAACCCCAAAGCCTTGGGACTCTAGGTGTATTTTGGAATTAAGAGTTTTTCAGATTTCAGAAAGCAGTGTCTCATAATCAAACAAAAAGATTTATGCAGCAAAACATAAATTTCGACCAAGTGGGATACATAAAGTCTGTTAGTGTTCTTATAACAGTTTAGGTTTAAGTTTTATATCAAATGAGTCTATGCTAAAATTACTGGAAAAAAAACCCCAAAAACTTTGGGATTTTGGAATTTTGGGGACTTTGGGTAAGAGACTGAAGGCCTGTATTTCCCAGTGTCACAAAGTGAAGGGGAACCCTGCAGTGTGGGGCAGATATTTTTGAACACTCATCATCATCAAAGCAGTCAGCTTTGGTAGAGTTTGCCTCTAGTTTAGCACATGGAACTACCCTGTATTTTCCTTTCCCTCAACTTCTGAAAATATAGAAACTCCATTGAAAGTAATATTTTTTTCTGACTACAAAAGTACTATATGCTAGTTTTAAGTAGTTATATGTAGCTTAGACAACGGAAGTCCTTTATAAATCTTACCTCCTAGCGATGACGATTATTAACTTTGGTGTTTAATCCCTTAGGTTTTTCTGATGCATGTGCTAATGGGTACGTGTATTGTTTATATTAGTATGTATAGTTATTTGTACAAAAATAAGATTATATTATATACAATGTAGTACAGTTTTTTCTTATTAGTATTTGGCTATTCTTCCTCTGTCAGTAATTTAGCTTTTATTCTTTTTAAAAGCTAGGAAGATTTCCATCATATGGGCATATCATTATTTACTCATCACTTTATTGATTGATATTTGGGTTTCTAATTTTTTTAAATGCAGTAAGCACCTTTCTATACATCTTTGTCTGTTTCTGTGGGCACATCTGAAGGGTTGTTTCCTACTGTTGGTTCAGTGGGTATATGCAGTTTTTACTTCAAAAGACAGTGCCGAGTTGCCCCCTCAGCAGATTCTACCCTCTAAGACTCCCACCAGCAGTGCCGGAGAGTTCCTGTTTCTCCTTCCCCAATCAGTGCCAGATGTTCTAAACCTGCCAACCTGATTTAGAAAAGCAGTCTCATCTTCGCTTATTTGGGGAGGTTGGTGATTTTTTTCAAGTGTATATTGGCCATGTGTTGTTTTTCTCCTTCTTCTTTGACTTGCCTGTTTATATGTCTGAAAGGTCAACTTGGTTTTATTTTTCTAACCTTTCTGCCTGGTTGGGGAGCAGGAGGAGAGGGCATGGCAGAGCCACTGGAGTATCAGTTGTTGAGGGGATTGCCAGTACTGCCCAGCTCCTTGCAGAGTAAGGAAAGGCAGGAGGCCAGTGGGTTTGGCTTAATGAGCCAATGCTTTATTCTGGGACTAGATGTCTGGTTTACACTGGGGTTTGGGTATTGGAGTGTTGGTTTAGCAGTGTGTGTGTGTTGGGAGGGGAAGAGTCTGTTTATCTGATTGCTTTTTCATTTTCTTTGTCCAGATTCTTCAGAGGATAGCCCTCCAGCCACTCAGAACTTCATCATTCCAAAAAAAGAGATCCACACTGTTCCAGACATGGGCAAATGGAAGCGTTCTCAGGTACCAGTGGTGTCTGCACTGTGCGGTTGGGACTGGGATGAGAAACGGGCTTTTTCAAAACATTGGTTTTTTAGGCCTGAGTGAGGCTGTGAGCTCCTGACCTTTCTTGCTTTTGGAGCCAGAGCTGTTTAGAAGCTAGGAAGAGAGGTGTCAGGGGAGCTGGCTGTATCTCCCTCCTCAGGGGCAGTACTCAGAGCTTTAGTGGGAAAGTATCTCGTGGCCCAAGTAAGGATAACCCTGGAAAGTAATGCTCCTGGTTCTCATAAGCCATCACCCCTTGGGTGTTACTGTATTGGCTGAACATCCTAACTGATCAGGTAGGTCACTTTGATTCTTGGTTATAAGTAATAGCAAATTGGGTGCCAGTGAATCAAAGGGTAACCACATGGAAACCTAGCCAGGGAGGTGGCTAAGCCTAAAAATACCAGAAACTGGGACCTCAGCTTTCTGCGCTGCTCCATCCCCACGGTGGGCAGCTTGTGCCTCCTGAGCTTCTGGGATAGGCTGTGGAAAGACTGGGACTGAGAAAAAGAAAGCCAGTTTCAAGTTCCCGGGAAAGGCCTTGGGGCCAGCTCCAGCCAGTTACCTCTACCTGGTCTGGTCAGCTGGGGTGGGGAGTATCACTTGTATAGAAGGGCTAGCCTGGGGGTCCTGGCAAGCTTGGCACGTTTTCTATGAAGACTTTGCTGTGCTTACATTGAGCCTAAACCCTACAGCTACTGTGTCTTGGCCTCATGGGGACTTGGAGTCATGCAAGCCTATCTGGCTGCTCTTTCCCAAGCCTGCCCTTTAAATGTCTGGGGATGGTTACGTCTTTCTGAGTTGTGGTATCCCTTGAGCCTTCACCAGGATAAACGCCTTAGTCCCTTTAGCTGCTCAAAGGACATGGTTTGAGTCCTTTCATCATCTTGCTCTACCTAAGGGTTTCTCAATCGCAGCGCTATTGACATTTGGAGGCAGATAACTCTTTGTCGTGGGGGCTGCCCCATGCATTGTCTGATGTTTAGTAACAGTCTGGCCTCTACCCTCTCAATGCCAGTAGCACCCTCCCCCCTGTTATCACAACTGAGAATATCTCCAGACAGATCAGAAGTCCCCAGGGAGACATACCGCCCTGGGTTGAGAACTAATGCTCTTTCCTGAACCTGCAGGATTGTCTGAATCCAAACATGGCTTTAGTTCCTTGCTTTTCCCCTAAATGTTTTCCAAGGAGGACTGGGTGTTTATGATGTGCCAGGTACTTCAGCGCATTTAATCTTCACAACAGCTCTGGGACGGGGGCTCTGTGGTCACCTGCATTTTGAAGGTGAGAAAACTGAGGCCAGGAGGTGAAGACATTTAGCATGGCGACATAGTTAGTGGTTGAGATGAGATTCCAGAGATTCATGCTCAGGTTATCTGACTCTAGAGCTGCCGTGTCATAGGTCACAGGTGGGCAGATGACTGCCTGCCAGCCTAATTTGGCCCTTTCCCTATTTTGGTAAGTAAAACTTTATTGGAAATCATCCGTGCTCATTGGTTTACAGGACTTTTTTTGTGGTACAAGGGCACAGTTGAGAATTTGCGAACCAAGCTATGGGGCCCTTAGAACCCAAAATATTTACTATCTGATGCTTTGTAGGGAGTTTGCCAAGCTTTTGACATCAACAGTTTTTGGAGGTGTAGATTGACCAATACCTGATGGAAACCTTTCGCTTGCTCTGAAGCTTATTGGTCAAGGGTGTGGACCTGCTGTGGCCAGACAGGTGACTGTGCTGTGGCCAAAGCTCTTCACCAGGCAACAGAGTGCAGTGACCAGGAGCACAGGCCTGGGGTCAGAGAGGGTCAGGGCTGGAAGCCCAGGGCTGCCATTTTCTCTTCTTGCGACTTAGGCTAAGTGCCTAACCTCAGTGCCTAGGCCAGGCATCTACTGTAAAACGGGGTTCTTTGGAGGCTTGAATGACATAAAGCCAGAAAAGCATGTGGCCTAGTGCAAGACATATGGTAAGCCTCACTGAGCGATGGGCGTAGTGACTACTGCTGCTGTGATGATGGTGGTGGTGGTGGTGACTTTGCATACAATCATGTTCTAAGAAAGTCCTGAGTTTTAGTCACCAAGAGACTGTGAGCCATGTGGGAGCAGGGACAGTGGAGGGTGACACTGCCTCTTGCTGCTTCCTTTCTTTGCAGCCTCATGTACTTTGCGGAAATGATTGTAAACACTGGTCACAGTCAGGATGAGGACTCAGACTTGCCCTAGGCTGGGAGAGTTGCCATGGGTGGTCCACTGGGCTGGCCATGTGACCCCACATTTCCCCCTGCAGTCATTCTTTAGGCTAGTAGGAGGATCCTGGTATAGGAATGTTCTAGATCCTGAGTGGTTGCTTCTCAGGGGTTGCTGTGGATGTCCCAGCTTCCTTAAGGCTTGGAGAAGGAGGAAGAAAGAAAGTGAGAGGCAAAAGGGTTGAAGAAGAAACAAGAGCAAACAGAAGTTGCCTGGTCCTCGAATCTGCCTCTCCAGGGGTCTGTGCCTCAGTGCTTTCTTACCCCTGTGCTGGCGGTAACCTGCAGCCCCCTAGGGAAGAGAGTGCCCAGTTAGAAGCTGGGGATGGGTGTGTTTGGAGCCCTAGCCATGGGCAGAAGACGGCTTCATCTCTTGAGAGCAGGGCCTCTGCACTGCAGGCACGCAGCCTGGCCTGTCTGGTGGGGGAAACATCCGCAAAATCACCAGGGAAGGACCCTTGGTGGTATAGTGGGATGGTGGAAAACTCGGCCACTCTGCTTTGGAGTTTGGCTGGCTGGGTCCTACCTCCACATGTAATGAGATCTTGGTCTTAGGAGACCTTGGGCAAGTCACTTCTCCTGAAGCCTTGGTTTCCTAATCTGTAAAATGGGGACAGTGATAGTGTCTACCTCGTGAGGTTGTGGAAAGAAACTGCTGGCAGCAGTAATGAGCACATAGTAAACTGGCTGGAGGTCTAGGTGTCGTCGTGGTTTTTGGCCTGCCAGCGGTTTTGGATGGAGGATAAGGGTAGGGTATTTGGCGTTACCTCTGCTGCTCCGGTGGTCTGGGGCAGCTTGGAGCTCTTTGCTAACTGGGGGGAGGTGGGGGCTGGCCGGGTGTGCAGAGTGGGGGTCTGACATCCCTCTGCCATGTCCTCACTCTGCATTCTGTTTGGTAGGCGTATGCTGACTACATCGGATTCATCCTCACCCTCAATGAAGGTGTGAAGGGGAAGAAGCTGACCTTCGAGTACACAGTCTCCGAGGTAGGCACGGGCCGCGGGCTGCGCATGGGGCCTTTCCGGAAACAGCTCCACGGGGTCTGTGACCGGCCGGTGCGGGAGGTCACGTCACCCACACACGTGCGCTTGCAGACCTTTTGGTGTCTGTATTTCCAATTTTTAAAAAAAATCTGTGAATGAGTGTATATTTATAAAATTGAGATCAAGGTAAATATTCCATTTTATAGCCTGCATTTTTGCTAACTGGTGTCTTTATATAACTTTTTAAATTAAAAATGATCACGAAAGAATAAACATGCTCACTGAAGAGATTGCTGATAGAAACATGCATAACGTTAACAAAAAAGCTGGCTTCTTCCTGTACTCCTTCCCATAACTGACTCCCAGGGGCGGCCCCCTGTTAACGGTGTGGGGACTGTCACCTACACCTGCCCCAGGAGCATCTCTGCCCTGTTGAGCCATGCCCTCACTGGTTTAAACAACCCCCAGCTGTGGACTTCGAGATTGTTTCCCTAAACACTGGGACTATGGACACCTTGGCCTGTACATCTGTGGGCTTTCTTTCCTGAGGACTCACTCCTAGACGTGGCAGTGCCGAATGAGGGGCACACTGCTAGCTGGGTGCTCTTTGGCTGTGTTTCAAAGACGGGCTTGTCTGTGGAAGGAGGACAAGAGCCGTGGAGGCTGATACCCATGGGAAGGTGTGCTCTTGCTAGCTGTTTGCTCTTGCTGGATGCTGTTTCCCAGTGTTGGGTCCCAGGCCTCCAGTGGCCTCTTAGGTTCCTGTCCCAGGCATCCCAGAGCCTCTGTGAGCGTTATCTTATCTCAGACACCAAGGCCCAAGCAGCCTCTCTCAGTGCCTCGTCCACTCAGCTCTCTAGCTATAGCCTCGGCCTGTTGGGTAAGGCCTGGCCTTGCGCTGGCCCAGTCCCTCCACCTCTCTCCAGGCTAGCACAGCCCTCAGGCTCCTGGACCCTAACTGGCTGCTGGGTGGCTGAGGTCCTGGTCTGTCACTGGGGGAAGCCAGGCCTGTGCTGGGGATTGACAGCCTTCTCTTGGGAGCTTGCCCACCAGTGACTTCTTGGGTTCCCCTTGGGCCTTCCTGGTGCCCTGGGACTTTGTCTGTGGGCGCAGATGGCTGGGGAGAGAGATGGCTCCTCCTTGAGCCTATGGTAAGGAATGCTCAGCTGTGCTCAGTAGGCTGGGGAATGAGATGGCGGAAGGCTAATTAAAGGGGAATATTATAATTAACCCAGCAGATTCTGAGTTTCCAGATCCCTCTCAGATCCCTTAATTGCCCCTGAGGCCTTGATGGTAGATCCCCTCCCAACCAGGTGTTATCTTAGTTCGAGGGAGTTCTTTAGGCAGAATTACAGCCGGCTTAAGTGCTTGGGGTCTGGAGTCAGGCTGACTGGGTTTGGATAGCCTCTGACCTCTGAGCTGGGTGGCCTTTTCCCTCTGACACTCTATTTCCTCATCTGTAGTGTGGGAAGAGCCACAGACTTACTCATGGACCCTGGGGAGGATTCACTGAGATCCCACGTGTAGGTTTTTCTTAGCACAGTGCCTGGCACCTTCTGGGTGGCATCATTATTATTAGCTGTTGTTATCATTAGCTATCTTTTAGCTGTTTGAATTTCCAGTAACGTTGTTGTTTACTTGGGGCTCTTCCTGAGCTGAGGTTCATCCTCACTTGGTGGACAGAGGTGACTGGTGTGGTCACCCACAGCTGGCCTGGTGGCAGAAGGCACCGCAGGCACGCAGCATGTGGCCTCCTGCAGAGGGGGCGCTCCCTTCCTGCCTGGGGCAGCTGCTTCTCACTCTTGCCTCTGGTTGGAGGTGGGGGGACGACTGCCGCTGGGGAGAGGGCAGAGTGGCCTGGGGGGTGACTTCCAGACTACCTGCAGCAAAGGGAGCAGGCGAGGGCCATGTAGTGAGATTGTCTAGACCCGTGTTTAGAAGTCTCTTTTTCTTTTTGAGATTGTCTGTCCTGTTCATTGAGCATTAAAATTCATCATTTTTGTAAAATAAATAAAGGTGATAGTAGATAGGTTTATTTTTTGTGGTGGTTTCATTTGATCTTTTAAAATGAGGGCAGAATTTAAAATTGGCAAATAAAATTTGGAGAAAATTTTACTGGTCCATGAAATGCAAACAGGCAGTTTTGGTCTAAGAGGGAGGGCAGCTCAAATGATTCTACATGCTTCTTAGGGGCTTCAGCCCACAGCTCCCTCCCCTCCAGCCTCTCTCCCCTAGCAGGCCAAACAATAGAGGCAGCCCCTGCATTCAAAAAACCCTCTCCAGAAAGAGGAGCCAGGAGCCTTTTAATTATTCACTGGCCCAGCTGAGCTGGCAGCTGGGGCATGGCTCCTGCTGGCCTCGCAGCACCTCTTTATCCCCACCGCGGTGCCTCCCTGCGACTGAGGTCTCCTGGGAAACTGAGGTCTCCTGGGAATCCGGCCTTGCTGGTGCTTCCTGGGGCCTGCATCCCTGCGCCATCCCTTGTAAGTACAGTAGCTGCCAGGGCTCAGGTTTGCTCAGTCCTTAGCAGCCATTTCTGGTGACCTGGTTCTTCACAAAGCCAGTTCTCGTGGTTTGGTCACATTTCAGCAAGACAACTTTTCACCCTGGCCCTCTGGCACAGCCAGGTGTATAGGGAGCTTTCTCCTTTCACAGGTAAGTTTTCTTTCCTCCCAGCTCTCAGACATAGGGAACGGGGATGTTGACTGAAATACATGCACAGCCTAAAAGTTGAGAGTTATGTTTTGTTCGGTGGACATTTTTGAGGACTCGAACCCCTTGGAGCCCGGTATGACAGCCTCCCAGGTCGCTCTGAGGGACTGCTCCGAAGAGGCAGGGGAGGAGCCAGGGTATATAGGAATTTTACAACAAAGACCAGGTAGTTGGAACATTAAAAGATTACTTGTTAACTGAAAATGAGACATCTCAAGTTAGAGAATTTAGTGCCTTTCTTTGGGAGGGAGCAAACATTTGGGCTCATTGAAATTATTCCTTCGACAAGCACCTAGCTATCTAGGGCCAATGTCCTGTCCTTTCACATTCTGAGTCCCCTCAGGCTTCAGAGGCTGGCCTGTCTGCTTGTCTTCACTGTGGGGGGTGGCAGCAGCTGGCTGATGGCTGATGACTTGATGGCTTTAGCATTCTTTGTTTACTGATAAGGTTTGTAGTGTTTTTTGTTCACAGGGAGGTAAGGGAGGGCAGCATCAGGGCCATTGTCAAGTTGCACATCTCCAGGGGGGACTGTTTATGTGGACTACAGTGTGATTTGTGCCTCCTGGAGCTGTGTGTGGTGGGGTGGGGTTGGCTCACATATATTCCATTAGATCAAGCCCGCCTCTTCCTGCCCCACAAATACGCACACAGCTCCTGGGACTGCTTGTCCGCAGAGTCTCAGCAATGACAGACCTGGCCATGGCCTGCCCTCTGTCATAGCTTTTCCTGCGGGCACCACCCAGTGCCAGTGATGCAGGAAAACAGAGGTGGGGCATGAGAAGGGCTGTGTCCCAGGCTTCGGTTGAGCCCCTGGGATGTGCCCTGCCAAGCTTGGGTCCTTGGCTTTGCACAGGAAAGAATTCAAGAGCGAGCCACAGTTGAGTAAGGGTAGATTTATTCAGAGAGATACACTGAAAGGCAAGAGAAAGGCCACAAGGTGTGGGGGTTGGGTGCTCAGATTAAAGTGGGTACACACTCCACAGACAGAGTGTGGGCCGCCTCTGGAAGGGGGAGAGAGAGGGGCCGCCCCCGAGGTGCTTTGTTGCTGATTTTTATGGGCTTGGTGGCTTCATATGCTAATAAGTAGAAGGACCAGTCTAAGGGGAAAGGGTTGGGATTCCCAGGAAGTTGGCCATTTCCCATCCTTTGACCTTTTGTGGCTAAACTTGGGGCTGCCGTGGTGCCTGTAGTTGTGTCATTCACCATGTTAATATATTACAGTGGGCATATAATGAAGCTCAAGATCTACTAGAAGTTAAATCTCCCATCATCCTGAGCCTCAAGGCCTCCTGGGGGTTGAATCTTTCACCATTTTGATGTTAATTGCTGTGGCATTCCTTGAGTGACTGTGCCCTGCCCCCTTCCTGTCTCACCAGGAGCTCCTGGAGGTGTCTCCTTATACCGTTTGTGCCCAGCAGACACAGGCAAGATCTGCTTCTTGGCAGGGCCCCTCCTCCCAGGGCCACCTGACTCTGAGTGTCCTCTGCATCGTGTGCTCCCCTTTGTCCTGGCCCATTTCTGTGGAAGGGGCGCTCTCGCAGCCGCCCTCACAGACCATGTTTTAGACAGACAGCCTCACATAATTCCCTTGTTGAGTAACACCTTGTGTACTAATACTGCCTGGCCTGTCACACCGACTCCGCTCCTCAGTCCCTGCCTTCTGTGGGAAAGGTAGAGATGGATCTCAGACACTGTCAGCCTTGTAAGGTGTTACCCACGCTCACACCTCTGACCCAGCATCTCCGCCAGGGGTACTGTTTGTGGTGGTGAACAGTTGGAAATAACCCAAACGTTTAATGGTGGGGGATTGCGCGAAGAAATCACAGTACATTTGTATGATAACGTGTTATTCATTTATTAGAGGCTATCACAAAATTATGTTTACATGTTGATGTAGAACGAGAGTCCTTAGGAAGCCAAGCAGGCTGCAAAGCTGTGTGTGCCCCATGCCCCATGTGTTAGTCTGTGTGTGTATGTATAGCAGCACCCCATTCCGGGCACTGTGCTGGCATTCTTTATGGACTGTCACTTAGTTTTTGTGCTGGCCCGAGGAGTTATTTACCATTATGTTCATTTTTGAGATGAGGAAACAAGCTCAGAGAGTTAAAGTCACTTGGTCAAGGTCTCACAGCAATTAAATGGTATATTAGCTGGGATTGAATCCAGCTGCTTTCAAAGCTCTATGGTAAGCAATGGAAAACACTGTAGAAAGATGGAATAGAAGAGTATGTTAAAATGTCCCCTGCTATCTGACAGTAGAGCGTTTGCTATGAAACCTTTTGTAAGCCAAAGTGGCAAAAAATGAAAGTCTTCAGATTTCTTTCAGTTAGCAAAAACAAGTGCTAAGGTAGGTCTTTCGTAAAAGGGAAGTGGTGCAAAGTGAGGGATACCTGTAGTGTTTATTGCTGGGTGACAAGATTACTGGTCATTTTTGCTTCCTTCCTTTCTACGTTTCTGTTTTAAAGTGTTTTTAGGTATGGTGTACTAAACCGAAGAACCTGATAAAATGTAGTGCTTGTCCAGCAGCTCCTCCTGGATGGGCTGGCAAAGAAATCAGGTGTGGAAGCCACACCTGTCCTCCAGCCTAGTGCTGGGCCCTTCCTGTAAAGCTCACCGGCCCCTCCTTCACATTCAGGATGTTTGGGAGTAAAGGGGGCCGGCAGGGGGAATGCCAATGGTGCGTGCCTCGGGGTCGTTGTCCGGCAGCAGATGGGATTCCCTCTGTGGCTCTGGCTCGGGGCCCCTAGTCACTGTGGCTTGGCTGCCTCCATTTGCTCCACAGGCCATTGAGAAACTGGTCGCTCTTCTCAACACGCTGGACAGGTGGATTGATGAGACTCCTCCGGTGGACCAGCCCTCTCGATTTGGGAACAAGGCCTACAGGACCTGGTATGCCAAACTTGATGAGGTGAGGCTGCCACAAGACAGGCTTGGGGGCTGGGCTGGGGGGAAAGTGTTCAGATATCAGAATCATTGGGGAGTTTGTTAAAATGGCAGTTACATTTCCCAAAAATCCAAGTGTATTTACCATCTATCCCAGCCATCCTCTAGGAATCACCACCGTGTCCTCTGCAGGGCTGTTTATTAAGTCATGTAGCAACAGATTGAAACGTCCCACATGTCCATCTGCAGTTTATTATCAATTAAATAAACCATAAGTCCACCCATGGAGTACTCAGCGACTGTAAGAAGGGATAAGGAGACGGACTAGGGAACTCAGAGGAAGGGACTGCGATTTACAGTCGTCCCTCGGTATCTGTAGGGGATTGGTTCTGGGACCCCCCCCCACGAATGTAAAAATTCACGAACGCTGAAGTCCCTTACACAAAATGCATAGTTTGGTTGGCCCTCTGTATCCATGGGTTCTGCATCTATGGATACAGAGGCCCAGCTGCGCTGTTAGGTTAGAGAGGACCTAGGGTGTGATGCGCAGGCAAGCTGCATTTTGATAAGAAACAGGGAAAACTAAAAGGATTTGTTTGTATTGCTCTGTTCACGTTGAGAAACATCACTGGAAGGCTACATCAGAGGCAAATAAAGCTGTGGTTTCTTTTTCAAGGTAGGGGTGAAGGGGGCTTGGGGAAGGGGTGGGGTGAGACTTCTCAATGCATCCCTTTCATAATGTGTTTATTTTTGAGTCATGCAGAGGTAATACTTGTTTGAAGCAAACAAACAAAAAATGTAGGACAGCAACCCTGTCCTTAGAAAAGCCGAGTCTGTAGGTCTAGGGCGGGGCCTGGGAATCCGGATCTCCACCTGGTCTCCAAGAGTCTCACGCCAGGCATTTATAGGCTGAACTTGGAAGAACCTGGGGCCTAATTTTTTTGTCCCAGTGTTTTCATGTGGAGCAGAGGGGAGAGGCCCAAGAACCCAGCAGAACACTACCCCTGCCCAAGAGCAACCTGGGGCCACCTCTGGATGCTGAGATGGCTCATGGGCTTTTTTTAAATAAAGGTTTTTATTGAGTTATAACTTAAAAGAAAGCTGACAGGTCGTGGCTGGACAGCTTGATAGATCTTAACATGTTTTTACTCTTGCATCCACCACCCATATCAAGCCATAGAACATTCCAGCACTTCAGCAAGGCCCTTGTGCCCCTTTCTAGTTGATATCCCCCAGACTCTTCTGACCTTTATCCTATAGATCGATTGTGCCTGTTTTTGAACTCCACGTAGATGTCTGGCTTCTTTTGCTCAGCGTTAATGTATGTGTGACTCACCCACGTTGTGCGGAGCTGTGGATTGTCTTCATTGCTGCATAGTATTCCATCGCAGGACCATAGCCTAATTTATCCATTCTACCATTGATGGACAGTTCAGCTGTGAGGGGTTTCCACATTTTGGCTACTGTAAATAATGCTGCCACGAACATCCTTGCATGTGTCTTTTGGTGGATGAATGGCACAAACTCCCTTACTGGGAGTGTGAAGAAGGGGTATTTCTGGGGACTTCAGTGAATGACTAGATGGGGAAGTCGACTGGCTTCAGAATCCTCCTGTCTTGCCCCCAGAACTGTGTCTCCTGGAGGGAGGATCAGCAGATGAAAAGCCGCCCCAGGGTTGTCTCTGTTGTGTAAGAAGAGATGCCCTCCCTTATCTTCTTTCTGTGGCCAGTCAGAGCCGGGGTGGGGGGCAGGACTGCTCTGTGTGGCTGCCTGGGCTCCAGCCAGATACTGCTTCTGAGGCGCCTGCCGACCGGGAAGCTGCCTAATCTGCTGCCACCACTTTGTGTCTCTTGTGTTATCAGGAAGCAGAAAACTTGGTGGCCACAGTGGTCCCCACCCATTTGGCAGCTGCTGTTCCTGAGGTGGCTGTTTACTTAAAGGAGGCAGTAGGGAACTCTACGCGCATCGACTACGGCACAGGTACCTGCCACTCCTGGCGCTTCCTTGGCTTCACTGCAGTCTTTTCTTGGGCTGCCTCCTCTTAGTTCTGGGTTGTCTGGGGGTGAGGGAGCCCCAAGCAGGCAGCCTGGGGGGCCCCCTGGGGTGCAGCACTGCCAGTGCAAGAATGCCTGGTGCTGCTCCTGTGGCTCTGGCTTGACCCACCAGGGGGCGCTGGTGCCACATGTGTGGTGGCTATAAGCGCAATGCTGATTTCTGTTCTTTGTAAAGATGGCCTGTCTGTGAGATTCATCGTTATCACCAAACTAATAATTTATTGAGCACTTGCTATGTCTCAAGACAACCGCTTACAGAAGCCTTGAGAACTGAAAGAGCCTGGTAGCCTCTGGCAGTGTCGTGGCGTGTTGCTCTTAGCCACTCAGTGCCCTTGAGGGAGTGGTGCTGGCACGTCGAGGGAGGAGTTCTCTGTCTAGGCCAGGGGTGGCTGAGGAGGGCCCCTGCTTTGGTAGCTCGTCCGTCCTTTCCTTTCCACCCCGCAGCAGGCATACACAAGAGCTGCTGCCCTCTCAGGCCCTTCCCTTCCCTGGGCCGTGGTTCCCCGAGAGGAGCCCAGGCCGCAGAGGCAGGCCTGGAGAAGGGTACCCTTGGACCTGGGTCATCTGAAAGTTTTGTTGTCTGCTCCCCTGATGCTGGAAAATAGGCTTATCAAGTGAGACTTTCAGGGGCGGATCTTTCACTGAGACCAACTGGGAAAGACCTGGAGGGGAGAGTGGTCAGGCCAGCAGGGGCTGGGTTTTTCTTCCACTCTCAGATGCTCGTAGGTGTGCAGGAGTAATGGTTGCCCCTGAGTGATGGTGGCTTAGAGTCTGGTCACGATCAGAAACTATGTAGGTGAAAGTAACAGCTCACAAACTTTCCAAGCCCTTGGAGGGACCCTCATTCTGCAAAAACAGGATGGGAAGTCACTGAAATAGTCTTTCCTCATCACGCTCCAAATGTAAACCATGAGAGTTGGTCCCAAGTCCAGCCAGTGGTTTCTGTGGTGCTGACCATTCCTATTTGACAAGATGGGAAAGGAAGGAAGGGTGCCTTTTGACCCTGTAATGTGGCCATACTTAGAATCCTTCAGTGGCTCCTGTTGCTCTTAGGATAAAGTCTAACTTTTTTCCTATGGCCTTAAAGGCCTGTCTGATCTCCAGTCTCCTCTCGTTACACTTTCTCCCTTGATGTCTCTGCTTTAGCCATACTGACCTTCCTAGGGTTCTTCAAACTTCCCAGTCTTTTTTCTTGCCTCAGAGCCTTTGCACATGCTATTTCTTCTGGCTAGAATGCTCTTCTTGCTTCACTCACTCCCTGTACCTTGCCAACTCTTATTTGTCTTTCAAATTAAATATTATTTATTTCTATAGGGAAACCTTCCCGAACGCTTATGTCAGGGTCTCTCTGTGATATCCTCCAGTTCTCACCCTATGCTCCTTCAGAGCTAGATTCATAGAAGTGATTGAATATTTAATGTCTGTCATTCTGATAAATCATAAACTATCAAACAGGGGCAGGGACATTTTTTGCTGCTGTCTCCCTAGTGCCTGCCGTGGACTGTGAGTACCGCCATAGCATGTGCTCAATAAATAGGGTGGAGTTGATGAGTGAGTTCATTCTCCAAAACAAAATGTGAATGCCTATTTAAGAAATCAACAGCCTGGGCCTTTTAGGAGTAGAATTGTGGTAATGGTAGTTCTAAAAGGACTTAGGAAGAGGCTCCATTGTCTCCATGTTAACCTCCCCTCTAGGGAGCGCAATTATCAGTGATTTGGACCCTGGTGAGACCAAGAACAGCCCTACTCCTTCCGGAAGACTGTCCACCACAGCTGTTTTTTCTCCCTCAGGACATGAAGCCGCCTTTGCTGCTTTCCTCTGCTGTCTCTGCAAGATTGGGGTGCTGCGGGTGGACGACCAAATAGCCATTGTCTTCAAGGTGTTCAATCGGTGAGTGAGAGGAGGGTAGGTGGGGCGGCTGCCAGTGGGAGGAGGAGCCAGGGGTCGCTTTCCTCCTTGTTGCTTGGACCAGGCACAGGGTGCTGGAGGGGGCCCCTGAGTGGCTGTTGGGTCTCCAGTCTAGTCCTAATCAAGCTCTGTGAGTGGGGTGTTCTCACAGGGTCAGATTCAAGTGGAAAATGAAGGGAATGCAAGTAACGACTGCTGATGCTCCCGTGGCCTTTACCACGCGGAGGCACTGTGTAAGCACTTAACATGTAACTTAATTCTCACAGCAACCTCAGGAAGTAGCAATTGTGCTTTCCTTTTTATAGATGAGGAAACTAAGGCATAGAGAAGTCTGATCTCTTCACTGAGGTCACAGCCAGCTGAACCCAGGCTGTCAGGCTCTGCCTTGTTCCCCTCACCACCTAGACCACCTGCCCCGCACGTGGATGTGTCTCAGTCACCAGAAGGCACCGTCACATCTGTACCCCGCCCCCAGCACTGTCGATGCCCTGGAGTGCAGCTCTGTGGGTGATTCTGACACAGCCTGAAGGGACCTAGGAGATGGTCTGTCTTTCCGATTCCGATGGGCAGCCTGGAGCTGGGGAAGCTGCGGCTCCTGCCCAGGCTCTTTTTACATTGTCAGGAGTTGACGGCACTGCCCCTCTGTCCCAGTTGGTGTTTTGCCCCTTTCCTGGGCCAAAAGGAGGCTGAGTGTGAGAGAAAAAAATCAAGCTACATTATGCTGAGAAGATCAGCTGATACATAACTTAGGCATGAGGGTTATAATTGAAATGGAGACACACTCTTGGGTAGTTACTTCTAGCCTCCTTTTCTCCTAGTGGCAGAAGGGTTGAGACTGTCTATTTACTTTTTGCCACCTCCCCTCCTTTCCCCGCCCTCCCGTGCAGGTATCTTGAGGTTATGCGGAAACTCCAGAAGACGTACAGGATGGAGCCAGCTGGCAGCCAGGGCGTGTGGGGCCTGGATGACTTCCAGTTTCTGCCCTTCATCTGGGGCAGTTCGCAGCTGATAGGTACTGGAGGGGGCACGGACCTCTGCCCTGGCCCTCCTCCCTCCCCTCCTGCCCAGGGCACACAGTGACAGCTTGTAGAGCAGGCGTTAGACCGGCTATTGATGGTGGCTGCTCGCTGCCGACTTTCTGCTGCCACCAGCGTGGCCGGCTGGGGGAGGTGGAGGCCAGCGCTGCCGAGATAATGGAAAGTGACGTGGGCTGGAGCACAATGGGCTGGTATGAAATGCGCCCCAACTCCTGGCAGTAGCTGTGGGGTTTTATGTTGAAAATGAGGGGTTCTTTTGACTCAGTGACCAACGTCATTTGCTGTGATTATCGAGCCATGCGCAGAGGGGCCCATCGGGGAGCTGCTGCCAAGTGCTTGGCCGGGGGCCGCTTGCTAGGGGCCCACTCTGTTGGTTCCCTCCACTTTCCTACGGGCAAGCCACAGTGGGTGTGGGGGTCTTTATCTATTTTGACCTAGGATTAACTGCCTGCAAAATAATAGTAATCAATGACCATTTGTTGAGCACATGCCCTGTGCCAGGCACTGCTCTAAGTGCTTCAAGTAGATCGTCCCAAGGACCCTGGGAAGGGTCTGTGCCAGCATACCACTGATACCACCTACTGGTGTGCTGTACCGTGGTCCTGATGGTCGGGCAGTGTGCCACGGCCCGGTGGTGGAGGGTTCCATTCTTATCCCCACTGCAGGGTGAGGAGACCAAGTCACAAGGTCATTGGTTGCTCCTGCGAGGTCAAGTGTCGAGGGTGGGTGGGTGTAGACCGCACTGGGCCAAGGTGCCCTGCTGTGCAGATGCCTGGTTCTGAATCCTGGGGCTCTCTGCTGTTTCCAGACCACCCATATCTGGAGCCCAGGCACTTTGTCGATGAGAAGGCCGTGAATGAGAACCACAAGGACTACATGTTCCTGGAATGTATCCTGTTTATCACCGAGGTGAGGGAGAGGGGTGAGGGAGAAGCCCATGGCAGCCTCTGGGCCAGAATGATCTGAGGCTGGTGACTTTGGACAGAAGAGCCAGAGCTGCTGCCTGAAGGTGGCAGGGCCAGCCCCAGAAGGTGGGTTATTGACAAGGAAGCCCAGCCAGGTGTCTCTGAATGGTTGAGCTAACTTTTGATTGTCCAGGATCTCCTCCCCCAAGTCAGTGGTCTGAGGTTTCAACTTGAGCTGATCGATTAAGACTTGGTTATTTGCTGGACTTGGTGACCGATGGAGCAGTTCTGAAGGGTTGGTAGGTATTGTTGAGGATGGGTGGGTGTCAGCGTCTTGTGGATGGGGCCCACGAGATCTGTAAAGCTACATGCATGTGGATGTGTGGGACGAAGTCTTTTTAGGGGTTGGAGAGAATGGCGTGGACAGCCGGACAGATTTCTGCTGAAGGGGCTCCTCTCTGTCATTGCCTGAGGACGTGGGCTGAGTGAGTACTGGAAGTGGAAGTGAGCAGGCCTGGACCCCCAGCCCACCTGGTGGGGTCATTTAATTGGGTGCTGTTGTTCTGCAGCCTTGAGCCATTTCCTCAAGGTCACCCAGGGGCTTGTTAAAATGCCTGTTCTTGGGCCCCACCTCAGCTTTCTGAATCTGATTCTCGGGGGATGAGTGCTGGGAACCTGAATTTAAACACCCATGCCAAGTGACTGTGCATGAAAGTTGGGGACCCACTTCCCTCAGGTCCTCAGGAGGTGTAGGGACCTTTTACCTTTCTTGCCTGGTACCTGCCCCCCCCTCCCCCAGACTTCCAAAGGGCACCCTGGCTCTGCCGCCTGGAGAGAGTCTTGCCCCATTCTCTTTCCTGATGCCTGCATGCTTGCCTCCTGGCCCCAGTGACGTCCCTGGCGCACCCGTGGACCCCTGCCTATGGGGGCTACTCTTCTTTGCTGCCCATTCTGAGCCCCTTGAAGAGTGGGAGATGCCTGGTTAAGCAGCAGTAGCTCCAGGCTCTCCTGGTCAGCATTCGGCTCAGGCCTTGCCAAACTCCAGAGGCCAGAGGGGAATGACATGTTTTTCCAAGTCAGCAAATGAAGCCCGTACTGACGGCTGGATGGCCACTGCTTCATTCTCAGAGATCTGCTGCCTTCAGCAGTGTAGCCAGCCCAAGGTCGGAAGGACTCTGGGGCAGCCTGGCTCACTGCCTTCAGAGCTGGTCACATGCTGCTCTCCCTGGAGTGGGATGGGAGGGTCTGTGGAGCCAGGAGACCCCAGGAGAAGCTGGAGGAGCAGGGTAGGGGGAAAGGGTGCACAGTCCACAGTGAGCTATGGCTTCGCTGGCTGGTGGGGGTAAGAGGCTGAGCTGTTTTGGCTCCCCCTGGTGGCTGGCCAAGCCCCTGGCTCCCTGTCAGTAACTAACAAGGAGGAGGGCCAATCTGGGCCTGAGAGAATAGAGGACTTGACTCTGGGTTAAAACTTTATATTTTTGTTTGGTTGGTTGGTTATGCTGGTACAAAAACAGAAAAGCTTTCTTCCAAAGTTTGGGACCCAGTTCCTCTGCTAGAGGAAATCCGGAAGTGGCCACTAGGTGGTGCTAAAGACACACTGAACTTGGAGAAGGTTTTAGTAACAGTTGAGGGAGAGGCATGAAGTGGGAGGAGGCCGGCAGGCCCTAGAGTTCTCGGTTGTTCCACACCTCTCTGCAAGGCCTGGTATGCACTTTGGGTCTGGGTGCTTGGGCATGGCAGTAGACATTGGACACTAGCAGAGTCATGCCCCAGAGCTGAGGAGACCGTAGGAAGGGCCCCCTCGCCCACCTGGCCAGCCTAGAGCAAGCTGGTGCAGATGCTGATGACAGCAGGTCTTGTGCTAGTTCTCCAGAAACTAGGCTCACCAACCCCCCTGGCACCTCAGACCAGGGTTTTCGCAGCCCCTAGATGGTGGTGAGGGAGGTCCAGGGCCTGACACTGGGAGGCAGGGACCTAGAGGCCGGTGTGGAGCTCTGTGCTGTGGTCAGGAAAGGGGCAGTGTTGCCTCTGGAGACCCAGGGATGGCTAGGGCTGGTGCAGCTAGGAGACTAAACAAACAAGAAGTTGGGAATGAAACCAGCTTTTCCTGCGGCATCACAGGGACCAGCCTGGGACCTGCCCTGGTTGCCCTGAGCATCCCGGATGAGGGACCTCACCTTGCAGGGCTTCTGCTGTCTCAGGAAATGCAGCCCTGGCGCCTTTAAGAGCCCAGGGCAGGCAGGAAAAGAATTTCAGTTTCAATCTGGCTTCTAAATTTGGAGTTTTGGGAAGGGAGGGATCAGATTTCAGCTGGAAGGGAAGGAGCTGACAGGAAGGCGCTGTGCAGAGCCTCCCCCCACCCCATCCCCCCTCAGTTACTGACAGAGGAACCATTTACAAAAGGCCGATTCTCTTGGGAGTGGAGAGGCAGGAACGCAGCGTCTGTGAGTAATTTCCTGCTCAATATGGCTGCTCTGACTCACACGATTCCCCTGGGGTCACTGCGGGACTGCAGCTCGCTCGCTCATTCTCGCTCTTTCTCTTCTCCCTTTGTGGCTAGAATGAGCTAATTTTTTTCTCTTCTCGCCCCCGATTCCTTTTTCCCCCTCATCTGTTTTCCTCTCCCAGAGTTGCAGAGTCTCCTTCTGAAGGACTTAGGGAGACGGAGACCTTCGTACACTGGAGGCTGGTTGGTGGGGGAGCTCTTCTAGAGAACTAGCATGGTCCTCCTTTCCATG